GAACCATCCTTCTTCTCCAACTCCTCGTCGAAGATGAAAGCGTGCCAGCTGAGTCGATTCCTCGACCCATCGGTACTCGTGGGGTCAGCGACCGGCATGAAAGCTGGGCTGGTCGACCTGACAACTTCCCATGAGTCTGACGCGGAGTCGGCGGGGTCTTCTCGCGTGCGCCTTCCTGGTCCACCCGAGCTTGCTAGGCGACACCACTTCGGGCGCCACCAATCAGCCAAGCTCGGCTGCTCCAGTGAGTCTTGACTCCCTCATGGCCAGAATTAACGAGCAAGGGCATGATCGCCGAGAAGAATTGACCTTCTTGGCGAGGCTCATGGCTTACGGATTCACTCGTTCCGTGGAACCCTCCCGATCCTGTACAGCGGCGAGCGATTTTGCATGCTGCTTCCGCGGGGGAACTGTTGGATATCTTGAAAGGCAACTACGCCGCTCTTGATTACCCCAAGATCATCGGCGATCTCCAAGCTGACAACCAAGCTGTTCAGGAGGAGAACCGCGCATTGACTCGGCGACTGGACTCGCTTGCTCTCAACAATGTCGACTTGTCAACTCAGCTCTCGTCGGCTCAACAGCAAGTGTCTCGATTGGAGGCTGCTGCCAAGCAATCGGCTAATCTCCTCGCGTCGCTGCGGAAGGCTGTAGCTCTGAGTGAGGCGAAACTTGCTCGGGCCATCGCAGCTGAGCAGAGCAAGGTCGACGCTGCGTTGAGTCAGGCCCAGCTCCACCATCAGCAAGTCTTGGATCGGGACGCCGAGATCAACGTCCTTCTTCGATCCATTTCTGAGAGGGATGCGGCGTTCGTCACTCTTCAGGGCATCGCTTCCAAACACTTCGAACAGCTGCAGGAGTCGGTGCGGTTGTACAGTTCCACCGGTACTCAACCCTTGCGGCACGCTCAGTCGGTGATCGCTGAGCAGCGAGCGGTGATCTTGCGACAGAAGCGGCTCATCCGTCGGAATGGTATTATTCCGATGCACGATCCTCACATGGCTGCTGCTGCTGGCGGTGGCTTGCAAGTTCCTGGGCTTGATCCGTCCGACCTTCTCCTCAACGCCCGGCTGTGTCGTGTCTTGGAGTCTCGCTTTCCTGAGGTTCTCAACATTCCCGCTGGTGAAACTCGGCGGTTGGAGTTGATTGTCCATCCTCGCCGAGATGCTCCAGTGGCGAGTTCCGTTATTGGTCCTGGTGTGGTTCCCTCAGCTAGTCAAGGGTCTTCGACGACTTCATTGGCAGACTCGGCTGCGGCTCCAGTCAGCTCGGCGGCGGTAACCACTCAGGCTGAGCCGACTCTTGCTCAGCTTCACCGTACGCCTTTGGCAAACTTGACCTCGACTCAGCAGCTTCGGCGTTATGCCAACCCCAAGTCTCCCACAGCCGCAGGTCCTCGTCATCGTACGCCGGCGCCGCATCCGCCTCAACCGTACGCTTGTCCACTCCCCGGAGAGGATGGACACGAGGCTATCAGTGCCCTTTTGCACTCAAGTTCGCCTCAAGCTACTGCATCCGATGGAGGAAAGCCTCGCTCTGGAAAGTCCCGTTGTCGGACTCGGCGGAAGAAGGTTCGTCACCTTCAGCTGAGTTCTGCTACTCAGCCCGCTGTCTCTGCTCGCTCTGAAGACGACGGTGACGCTTCGAGCGAAGCTGAGTTTGAGTTTGAGTTGCCTGAGCCGCCCGCCGACACCGTTCCTGCAGTCGCTTCGACGACTTCGGTGGGTTCTTCGTCTTCTGGCCCTCCGGTGACTTCGTCGGTCGCGGCTACTCGCCCACCGCCGATATCTTCATCTGATGTCGTGGCCTCACTGCCTGTCCCGGCTACGAGCGTGGGTGCCCCAGGCTCGACTTCGCCCATCTCCGCTGGGTTGCCCCAGTCGAGCGCACCACTCAGCGTCGTGCTAACGGTGGTTGGACACTCCCAGTCGCCCTCTCGGGGTCTGAGCGTATCCACCACGCCGACTGACTTAGTGACTCCGGCCGTGAGTGTCCTCAGACCGTCTCTCCCTGTGACCACGGCCGTGTTGACGTCCCCATCTGGGCGTCCTATTCGGAGATCGGCTGCGACCGCCCGTACTGTGACTGCTCAGCTGCTTGAGGATCTCGACGCGTCTGACGACGAGGTGTTAGGGCCTGGTGATGGTTCTGTACCGTCCACCGGCTCGACAAATCCTGCCGTTGGGTCGCTCTTGAATCCCATTTCCTTATCAGAGCACTCGGCTGGCAGTCCTTCCGGTTCCGACTCAGCGCCCGCAGATGCTCGTCGTTCCGCCCAAGCGAGAGGTCTTCATGCGGCGATCTTTGGTTCTGACGATGAGATGAGTGATGAGTCTTTGCCGCCGAGTGATCGCCCCTCCTCGCGGCCTTCATCGAAGGACTCTGGTGACGGGACGAGTTCTGCCTCTGCGCCGGCTTCGGGGAAGCAGCAGCATCGCAAGCGTCGTGCCTCGTCGAGTCCTACCGGTCATCGGTCGAAGCGATCCAAGAAGCACAAGAAGCACAAGAAGCATCACAAGACGCATCGACACCACAAGCATCGGCAGCTTCCGTCGACTCCTGATCCAGCTCCGGCTCAGTCCATTCCGGCTGCTCCTTCGCCGAGTAGGCTCCCGGTTATATCGATTCTCGCTCAGCCGAGTTCGACTGCCTCACGTCCGGCTGTGGTCGCACTTCCCAGCGCTCTTACACTTCCGCTGGCGACGTTACGGACTCGAGCCTCGCAAGCGGTGTCCAAGGATTGTCGCCTGACTCTTCACATGGCTCAACTCCGCGAGGTACCATTCATGCATTTCGGCTCAGCTCGTTGTTGGAATGCATT